GTGTGTGTGTGTTTGAAATAATCATTTATGCAGGGTGAAATTTTCGTCTGAAATCGAGTCTAACACTTGTGTTCAATCCAAGATACGGTGCAATTAGAGTAGAAATAAAAAATAGAATATTATAGTATTCTAAGGAACAGAAATATTATAATAAGCAATGAAGATGACATTTTCAATAATACACTAGAGTAAAAAAAAAAAAAATATTAAAAAGATGTAATAAAAGATGTATAGTTTGGAAAAATTGTATCATTTCAACTCTTTCGATATAACGATCGAAAACTATCGTCGGTTCTACAATATCAATAACGAAGTGGAATTGTAGAAGCGAGATATCTCGAAAGAGTTAATCGTATTATTTCCAACGACCAAAAACAGAATGATAGTACTCGTACTTTGCACAGAGATAGATAAAAGTAGTCGCACATTCGATGAAAAATTTTCTGTTACAACGTCGTGAAAAGAAGTCGCATAACAATTCGGTATTGAAGCGTGAGGCCTGCACTTTGATGGATTGGACCTGCGTTAATTTCTCTCGGAGAAAAACACGTTTCAGCAAGTGGAAAGAGAGAAGTACTTTTGTTCTCTCGGAAATTCGACAAATTCAAATGCCTCTGGAAACGTTGGAAAATTTCCCCCACGACTGAGTTCTACTACCAAGTTTCCTTTTTACAACGACCGCTTTACAACTTGCTGCGCGATTTCTCTTCTCGCCGTTTCATTGAACTTTGAACGGTAGAGTTCAAATGGCAAGTTCTCCTATGGCTTCTCGTCGATTTCAGTGAGATGAAAAAGAAATATTTTCAATGATTCTCTCGGAGCGTGTAAATTTTTATAATTCTTTCCTTACAGCAAAAATGTGTCTTGCTTCTCTACCAAAGATGTATAAAAACATATCTTTCGAGGGAAATAACTACAGATTTTTAAAGCACAGGTTTCATTTCCCTTTTAAAACGAGGAATTGTATGATTTTATTTCAGAATTGTGTTGTATAATTTTATTTCTGAATTGTATGATTTTATTTCACAAAGTTCGAAATTGTTCGAGCGTACGAATACTTTTATCCGCCCCCTGCGAATCTCGTGAATTTTCAAGCTCGATTCTCTCGAAAGTCCTCGATGGAAAATCTTTTTTTAAGGTACCGAAGTTTTCGTTTATTCCATTCCGGTTGTACTACTACTTACAGCCCACCCTGTACATTTCTATCTACTTTTACACACACATATCCTCTTTATTAGTGATATTATAATATTTTGACCATTGTAGAATCGATACGTGTGTTATTTAGTTTCATGCTTTTAGAAAAATATCCTTTTAGAATTTCGCGCGTGTCCAATTTCATACTTTTTTAGGCAACAAATTTTGTTACAAATTCACCAACATTCTCGCGAATTATTGATCATTTCTCGAGAATGTTGCTTGAGAGTCGTGCGTCCTCGCGTCTAATCCTTTCAGTTTACACGAAAATACATACAGTACATTAAACGATTTCATCTCTCTCTCTCTCTCTCTTTTATGTCGTTGTCCAAAATTATTTTTAATTTTAATTAAATAGCAATACGCTGCCATCGTTGGAGATACATCGAATTATATAAACTTGCGATCGATGCAACGTATCTGGGATACTTGGACTGGTAATTTGGATAAAGTATCTAAAAAGTATCTAAAAAGCTACTAACGTTGTCTGATTTTTAGCATAACTTCTCTCAGTTGAGAGAAACATTCCCGTCTTCAACTCCATGTGTTATCTGTTTTAATAATTTCTTTTAATAATTTGGCCAGGCACAAAGTAGGGAACTTTCTCTCATAGAAATGAACTTGAAATAGTTATTATAACTTAATTGTTACTTAATTATTTACTTAACGTGTTTACGCAACAAGTTTGAAATATTAAGATCTATTTGTTCCCCCTAATTGTCCTCATTCACTGCTGTTCGTATTGAACAAACATAAAACAACAGGTATTCCAAATATGTTGCATTTCCTCTACTTTTAATTATTAAATGTAATAAAAATATAAATAACCGTCGCTTTCGATGATCATCTCTTAATCCTTACACTGTAAACACTTTTACAGTTATCAAAAATTGTCGATCTTTTGCGTTTTCGACATTCTTCGCTTCGCGTGAAAAATTTTTTTCAAAAGAATCATTTGAAAATTCGTACAGTATTTTTCCAACCTTCTAAATTGAGATTGAAATAAAAAAAATTTCCTAAATTTCTAAGTCTTTCAGTGGTTTTTCTCCCCAATTTCAGCTATCTCACTGTGGTTTTTTCTTTTCTGTTTCTTTCATTTCGTTTTCGAGAATGAGTAACAACT